GGGCAGCTTCATTACCAGCCAGCATGTCAGGCTGTGAAATTAAAGCCATTTTGATTTCCTCTTTTATTTTCCATATCCACTAATTTATTAAATGCCATTAAATGTTGGGCCTGGCTCTGGCTCATAGAGTATGCTGGGGACTGCTGAGACCTGGTGTTTAAAAATCTGCAAGCACAGACAGGCTGCCGGGTGGAAGGACGTGTGACCTGTGACCCCAGGGCCTGGTGGGCTCTGCTGCAGCAGATGGCATGGGGTTAGAGTGGGCAGAGGGCAAGTGGACCTGATGGGGCTGGGCAGGGAGCAGTGCCTCACACCAGGTAAGGAAGAGCTCAGGTGGGTGACGGGGGACCTGGGAAGGATGGGGTGCATAGTGGCTTTTTTTTCAAGTGGGCATGAGTGTCTGGGTCTGGTATCCTTGCTTCTTCATTTCTTCACCCATCCACCCATTCATCCATTGAACAAATATTCAGTATTCTGGGTATGTTCTGGGCCCTGTGGTGGGAGAAGCACAGATAAGCCATGAGCATGGCCCCAGAAGAACGCATTTTCTTGTAATCGTGGACAGCAAGTCTACACAGAAGCTGGAGGCCCCTGAGATGCTGCTCTGGCCCCACCTGGCCTAGGTCAGGGGAACTGTGGGCCCAGCCCTAGAGGAGTGGTGTGCCTATGCAGACAAGTGTAAGGACGCATGGCAGAAGCACACCTCAAAGCTACCAGTTAGTGGTTCCCTCTGGAGACTGGAGCAACACCATGGGGGTGTCAGGCTGATTAGCCCTGACTTAGTAAAGGAGGGGCTGTGGAAAGCTAGCCTGAGAGAAGTCGGGGCCTCTCTGAGCCTGTTTCCTTGCTGTGCATGTGTGGAGTGGCCCAGGAAATGAAGACCCTGTGTGGCCTGTGGGCACGAGGGCTTCTGTCTGTACCAAGGGGCCTGTGGCTTCTCTCTCCTGTAGGCCATTGGTAGCCCTCAAAGAGCACACACCCAAAGCCTGGTCTTCCTGGAGGCCATGGTGATATACAGGGGTCCATCTGTCTACATTTGGGTGTGGCTCTGCTTGGAGCCCTGAGTTGAAGCTGTTTTGAAATGCCTCAGTTGGGGAGTAGGCAAGGAGCAAGGAAGTCTCAGCTTGTCCCTGCTTGGAGAACACTGGCCAGGCCCAGGCCACACCAGGGCACCCATGACCTCTGGCTGTCTGGGTCCTGATCCCCTGAGTCACCCCGCCTTACCCCAGATTCTTCAGCCTTGAGCTCAGTGGTAGCTTGGATATCTCTGCTGAGATAGCCCTCTGGCTTTGGAAGGGAATTGTCCCAGATGCCACCAGCTGAGCTCTCCACACTGAGCCTTGGCATTGCCATCCCTGGGCTTTACTTACCTCTACCCCTGCCTGTTCTCCTCCTGTCCCCTGCTCAGGCCTCAGGGTAGCTTCCTGTCCTCTTGCTCTCCTGCCTTTCTAGGGCAGGCCCTGCTCTCCAACTCTGCAGTGAACCTGCAGCCAATTCCTCCCTCCTGCTCACTGCCACCTGCCAGACCTGTGCTCTTAGCTGGTCCTGCTCAGCCTGCTCAACTCTACTGAAGGACTCTGAGCAACTCCCTCATGTATGCCATCCCTTCTAGAGCCAGCACTGTCTTAAACACCCTGGGGACCATGCCAAGCCCTTCCCCAGGGGCTGTGGTACCTGGCATGAAGATGGGCCCAGGGCAAGGTTTCTCAACTTCTATTGACATTTGAGGCCACGTAGTTCTCTATTGCAGAGTTCTTGCTGACTGTAGGGCTAGCAGCATCCCTGGCCTCCACCACTGCATGCTAGGGACACCCCCTCCATCAGCTGTGACAACCAGAGGTGTCTGCAGATATTTTGTGACTTCCTGGGGAGCAAAATTGCCTCTGGTTGAGAACTACTCTTGAGTGAACAAGAGCAGCACCTCTTATACATGGCAAGGACTGTGCTGGAAGGGATTGGAGTGGGGATCCTGCCCAAATCCTGCAGTTTAAAGGAAATTGGCCCTGGGAGAGCTACAGAATCCTAAGGCCACACAGCAGAGCTGCGTGATGAAAGAGGTGTTTTGGGAAAGAATTTGTGCAGCTTTTTGCAGGCTGGGCTGAAAACAGGTTGTGAGGGCAGCAAAGCCCCTTGGGTGGGAGCTTGGGGCTGAGGCAGGTGTCTTGGTGCTTGTCCCCTGTCACTTGTCAGTCAGCAGGAGACTCCGAACTCACAGGTCTCTGGGGAAGTAGGAGGTGTAGAAGAATCTGCACCCAAAAGTAGAAGGCAGGGACTTATCCCAGCCTGGCACTGTGGCCAGGAACCAGCCACTCATCTCTGGTTTCCTCATCTGGTCTGTGTGTTGTTCTTGCCTAAAGGCTCAGCTGGATCACCTGAAGCTGGCATTGAGGGTTCCTCCCAGCAGGAGACCCCAGGATATGGATTGTGGCAGTGGACTATGCTGGACAGGCCTTGGCACTAAGCAGACATTGCAAAGAATGCCCTGGAGTTGTAGGAGGGCCCTGTGAGGGTGGAGAATGAGTACGAAGGCTTTAAGAGGAACAGAATGCTGGACAGGCTGGGGAACAGGCTGCTGGTGACAGGGACTGGCATACTTGTAGACAGCGGGTGTTGCCTGGCTCTCACCTAGGGCCTGGTGGGACCTTGTATAGGAAGGGAGTAAGGAAATAGGTGTGGGAACAGGGTCCTGGCTGTGTTGCCTCATAGTGGAGGGAGGCTCATGGATGGACCTCGTCAGAGGGTGTGTTGTGGGGTGGTGGGCAGCCTGGGAGGGGCTGAGCTCAGTCCCCATGGAGCTGTTCTGCAGAAGGCCTCAGGGGACTCAGTGGCAAGGTAAGGGTTGTCCTGCAGCTCTAGGCTCCTTTCTCTACCTGTTCACATACCTGCTGCAGTAGGGTTTCCACTTACTCAATCCCGGTCTGGCTTTAGAGCCATAAATCTTCAGCATGAAGAAGGTGCATTTTTCCATCCTGTGATTAATGAAAGAAAAATTGAGATGGCAGCATAGAAACTGACCAAATTTGAAGAAAGTCAGTAATACGTTAGATGCAGATTTCAGCAAGTCATGGATGAACCCGAAGACCTTCTGAACCAGGCTGAGGGGCCACCCAGTGATTGCAGAAGGTGGCAGCTCCTACTCCCTCTGCATTACTTGTGAGCTGTTTGGGTGCGTGCCTGGTTTGGAGCTCTGGAAGTGTCATGCCTTCCAGGGCAGAGGAGCTGCAGAACCAGTCCCTGCAGCATGGGGATCTGACAGATGCTTGACTTAGCCTGATTTTCTCCAGCTCCTTGGCTTCCTACTCCATGCTCATGACTCCCACCATTTCTTTTTTTCACATGTAGTCTGGGCCACCATTGTTTCCCTGTTAATCAAAGTCCTGCTCATTCCTTGAAGCCCAGCAAGCCTTGTCAGCACTCCGTATCTTTCATTGGACTGTTTCTCTCTGTCCTTCCTAACTGTGTGCAGTGACCTCTCTCCTACCGATTGCTTTCTGGCTGTCCCTTCAAACCCTCCAGGGCTCTCCTCTTAGGAGAACAGCTGCAGTGCTGTGTGGGAAACCAGTCGGACTGTCACTGCCCCGCCCTGGGACAACCCAGATGTTGTCCTTCCTACAGGCCCTCTCTCCTCTGTCCCCACCGCGTGTCATCTATTTGCTTGTTGCAGCCACACTGCCACTTGGCTGGCCAGGATTCTTCCACTTCCAGGCTTCTGTGCCTGCAGCACCCCCTCTAGAGCACCCCTACGTATTTGTGCAGGCCCTTATCCCTCATCTAACCCTGCATTTTCCAGGAGGACCTCCCCGCTACCCTGTCTCCAGTTATGTGTCCTCACTGCTCTTGCTGAGTCACATCAGCACCTGAAGTTTTCTTAGTGCTTGCTCTGTTATGTTGGTGTCCCCACAAGGCCCTCCTCTGCACAAAGCCAGAGCTTCGGCCTCCCCCACACCATTCTAGACACTGCCCTGCGTTCCATGCCCAGGTGCCCAAAGGAGATGTGTTCCTCCCCCCAGATGCCAGACCCCTCTGCCCAGGTGTGGTCGGCCTCTTCTCAGCCCAGCACATCTGTGTTTGCTGCAGGGAGTCACAGCCATCAGCATTTATTTGGCTCCTGTGCATCCTGCTGGGTGGGGTGGAGGCTGGGTTTTATTGCCTTGTCCATCCAGAATGGAGGCCCCGGAAGCCAGGTCTTTACAGTAGTGTTAGCTACTCTGGCACTGGATGCTGCATGCTGTGGATAAATACTGGATAAATACTGGCTGGCTGATTGGCTTCTCAGATGCAGCACACTTCCCCTGAGCCAGCAGAGGGAGTGGGGCTGTGTCCGATACATGGGAGATAAAATGGGCAGATGTGGGTTGGCGCCAGTGAAAGAAGAGCTTCCCTTAGTGGAGCAGCTATCTTGTCTGTGCACAGGGCGCTGGGAGGAGAGTCAGCTGCAGCCCCTCCTGCTGGCAACAGGCCAGGGCAACCATAGCCTCCCCACTCTGGACCATCACCAGCCCCTCCACCAGCTCCACCATGCTCCCCTTCTTCTGCCTGTGGGCTTTGTTCTTCAGCCTCCTTGGAACAGGGGCAACGGGGCACAGCCACTGGAAGTTCTTGCTCTGAGAAAGCAGGCTCCACCTTCTTTTCTGCTCCCTAAGACCAGTCCTAACTTGCTGTCCCTGCCCCCTGCCTCCCTGGCCTGCATCCTGTATGCTGGGCCTCTTCTTTGTAGCTGCCTCTCTGTGTCTCGCCCTTTGGTGTATCTGCTGTGTGCTTTTATCTCCGACTCCTTGCCGTGACCCTGTGAAGTTCATGAAGTGGGTCTAGTCCTGTTTATCAGATGGGGAGACTGAGGCACAGAGTGGTGGAGGCCTTGTCTCGGTTACCTGTTTTGGGTCTGAGGCCCAGCTCTTGCCTTTGTGGTCTCAGGGCTGAAGTGAGGGCTATACAGTCTTCAGGCTCCAGGCGCTGGAGGAGAGAGCAGTGCTGGTCTAACAGCTTTCCTTTCTCTCCAGCTCTGCGGCTGTGGGCTGCTTGGAGTGGGCATCTGGCTCTCTGTGTCCCAGGGCAACTTTGCCACCTTCTCCCCAAGCTTCCCCTCACTCTCTGCGGCCAACCTCGTCATCGCCATTGGCACCATCATTATGGTGACAGGCTTCCTCGGTTGCCTAGGGGCCATCAAAGAAAACAAGTGCCTCCTGCTCAGTGTGAGTTGGACCCCACATCCCACACCCAGGGCCCTCTGCACTGCACTGTTGGTGGGTCGACCCCAACCATTGTTGGGCAGAGCCTGGAACACCAGTCACCACGGACCCATCCCTAGCCCAGGGGAATCGTTCCTAAAATGTTTTGTGCCTGACCTCACCCAGCCCCACTCTCCCTCTGGGTTTCCTCAGGAGTAGTGGCCCCGCTCAGCCTGGAAAACCCTGCCAGGTGCTGCCTGTACCCTGCCCCCACCATCCTTCATTTATACTGTCCCCAGCTATTGCCACTGCCCTGTGCCTATGCCTGTACCTCTTCTTTGTAGTTTTTCATTGTCCTGTTGATCATCCTCCTGGCAGAGCTGATCTTACTCATCCTCTTCTTCGTCTACATGGACAAGGTAGGCTTTACAGCAAGGGAACAGCTGATGGGAGTCAAGGCCCTGGGGTTGGGCCAGGCCAAGGCAGGTTCTTTCCCAAGCCAGAGAAAAAGCCCTGGCAAGCAGCCTGGCAGAGAAAGGAATGTGGGATTGGGAGAGTTAGGAAGGCTAGCTGGGAAAGATTCTGGTGGAAGGTTGTGGTGGTGACAGAGGGGCAAAGACAAGTTTGGGGACAGTTGAGTTCATTACCTTGTGCAGCCTTAGAAATATGATGCCCTGAATGATGCACAATGGCCTTAGTGAGCTCTCCATCACTGAACTGTGTGTAGCAACCATCTGAAGAGGAAATTCAGATCTCACTAGTGCTTGGCTGCTACCCCTGGGTGATCTAAGAGTGATCCATTTGAAATGAGAAGGGTCTGTGCCACCCTTTGAGCCTTTTGAGTAGCTATAACAGTTGCCCACCATGCTCTTGGGTCCTCAGGACTTAGCCAGCCTGGGGGTCTCTGCTCCCTGGACTGTGTGTGACACGTCCCTGTATGGCCGCACCATCCAGAGAGCAAGAAGCATCAGTGGGACTCCAGACCACAAGTCTTCAGTTCTGTTCTTATGAAAGGAAGAAGTGACCACATCTAGGGATTGCTCAGTGTGGCCCTGTGCTTCACTGCTTATAGGAATTGCTTCCTTTCGTTCTCACAAAATCTCCACGAGGTATAGATGTTATTCCACTGTAACGTGGAGCAGATGAAAATGGCAATGCCACATGTTTGTGAGAGGTGGATGTAAGGGCAGGTCTAATTCACCATGCTCTCCCTCTCAGTCCTAGAATGTCTAGAGAAGGGTGGTCTGCAGGGAAGGTGTGGGGAGGGCAGAGCGGCCAGCAACACAGCTGCCCCTGGGGTCAGGAGGGCAGGAGGCAAGCTATCGCTTCCATCTGGTAGGACAGTAGCTCTGGCCCCTAGAGTTTAACTGTGCCACAGGCATCTGGTGATCAGTACAGGCTACAGTCAGGAGCTGGGTGGGTGGGGCCACCCCACCTCCCCTCTTTGGGCCCACTGATCCTCTGCACCATTGGGAGGTGTGCCTGCCACAGTCCTCACTGCTGGCAGGGTCAGGGAGGGAGCTGTGCTGTGGGCCCAGTGACCTGCAGTGCTGACCTCACCCATCCAGGTGAATGAGAATGCCAAGCAGGACCTGAAGGAAGGGCTGCTTCTCTACAACACCGAGAACAATGTGGGGCTCAAGAACGCCTGGAACATTATCCAGGCCGAGGTGAGTCTCTGGGCTTCTGGGGTTTCAGCTGGGAGTGGGTGGGCTATGGGGACCAGCCTCAGTGTTTGCTGGAAAGGGACAAGGAGTGATGGGAGACCAGCAAGACTGCGTTGGAGTAGCCAGCAGAGGGAGCTGTAGGGCGAGAGTCGGGACAGTGTGTCCCAGACCTAACCAGGGGGCAGTAGGCAGTGCTGCTTGCAGCCACTCAGGATGCAAAGCTGCCCCGTGCTGCTGACAATCTGAGGGGCCATGCGTTGCTCCCCTCCATCTCAAGGAAGGAGCAGTCATTCATCTCCCAAAGGAGGGGACAAGAAGGTCCCCGAGCTCCAGTGGCTGTTTCAGTGGCTGGGCTTAGCCTTGCAGGCAGGCCTGGGAGGACAGGGCCAGCCGCAGTGAGGTTGACCAGCCTTTGCACCTCACCTGGCAGATGCGATGCTGTGGGGTCACTGACTACACAGACTGGTACCCGGTGCTGGGGGAGAACACAGTGCCTGACCGCTGCTGCATGGAGAACTCCCAGGGCTGCGGGCGGAACAGCACCACCCCCGTGTGGAGAACGGTGAGGCTGAATGCTGCCACCTGGGGTCTGCGTGCGTCAGCCTGGCCAGAGGAGAGCTGTGGAGGTTGTGGCTCACTGGAGGAGAGGGAGGGAAGCTGAGAGGTCGGGATGTGTGTCCCTGCTCACGCATGTGTGTCTGAATGCATGCTGGACCCACAGTTGGGAGAGTCGGGAGAGACTGTGTGGGTCTCGTCTGTGTGGATGGCCTTGAGGGTGAGCCCTGGGGTGTGCGTGCAGGGAGGAATGGGACTGAAGGTCAGCAAGGTTGGGCATCATGGGCGTGCTGTGGTTCACTCCCCAGGGCTGCTACGAGAAGGTGAAGATGTGGTTTGACGAAAACAAGCATGTGCTCGGCACAGTGGGGATGTGCATCCTCATCATGCAGGTATGCAGGGTGCCCACAGAGGGCCAGGGGGCAGAGAGGGAGGGCCTCAGCCTGCTGGTGCCTGCTAGGGCACCTGGCTGTCTGCGCTTGAGGCCTAGCAGCCGAGGCTGCTGTCACCCTGCTCTGCCACGAGATCGCGCCCAACAAGCAGGATGGTGCTGGGCAGTGGGGGCTGGCAGGTGCGGTGCGGCCTTGCCATGTGCCTTCCAGTTGCTCCCAGCCTGTGCCTGAGAGGAAGGCATGCACACTTCCTTGGTCCCTGCTGGACATTTTGAGCATGGGGTGCACTCAGTGTGGTGCCGGTAACCGTGACTGGCCTCTCTGCCTCCAGCACTCTCTGGATCCCCACCTTTTCAGTATTCAGGCTGAGGAGAAGGAACAAGCACCAGTATTGTCCTAGGCACATGCTGTATGTCCAAAACACATATCCAAAGGCAAGCACTAAAGATAAACAGGAATAACTGCACGACTTCCCATGATCCCCGCCTCACTCTGGGCCAGGGGTCTCTGAGGAGGGGCCTCAGTGTTCCTGTGCACCATCTCCTTCTGCCTGTAGCACTTTCCAAGCACTCTGTGGCTGTACCTCTCACAACAGGGGCTGGGTCACATCTGAGACTCAGTGTCTGAGGAGCAGCCATTAAAAGCCCTCCTTGTCTCTCAGATCCTGGGCATGGCCTTCTCCATGACCCTGTTCCAGCACATCCACCGGACGGGGAAGAAGTACGATGCGTGAGCAGGCTGGCAGAGGCGCAGCCTGCCGGACGCTGGAGGGAAAAGGGGCTGAGCTTCGTGTCTCCTGCCTGCACCCCCTGCCCTCCTACCAGCTGCCCTGGCGAGGACTTCTCAGAGGCAAAGGGCCAGGGAGGAGGCACACACAGAGACTTCAGGGCGCTGGGCACCAGATTCCTGCATCTGCAAATTTGCCAAAGACGACGGGGTGGGTTGGGTGTTGAGGAGGCCTGGCACTGATGGCTCTCTGCTCCTGCCCTTCTTCATGCTGATGTATTGTCCCTGAGGGGGTAGGGAATGGGGTGCTCCCTGGGACAGCACTGTCCCCCACACAGGCAACGCCATCTGTGTCTACCCCTGCCAAGCAAGGCCCTGAGCATCGTGCCCAGGCTTTTTATACCTGATGGTGTAACTTTTTTATTTTACCCTGATTTTGATTATTCAGGAATATTATCTCTCAGATAAGTTTAGGGTTAGCTTCCTGATTTATAACTTTTTACTCTGTTGATTTCCTTCATGGTTTGAGTTTCCCTTCCTGTGGTTGGGGCTAGGTGGGGCGAGGATGTTGCCCATCCATTTTGCTTCAGGACACACCCCGTGTGACTTGAGCAGCTGCAGAGTGAGATGTGCCAGGCCTTCTCCTGGAGCACACTGAGGAGGGGCAGGTGCATCTGAGACAGGCCCATGGGCCAGCACTCACGGACAGTGGGGGGAAGCATGTGAGGCAGTGTGGCAGGGCACCCTGAATGAAGGTGGGGGCAGGGGGCTGCTGATGCTTTGCCAGGAACTTGGCTGGAGCTGGCAGGGTCCTTACCCTTTCATCTGACGAGCAGTGTGTGGTGTTTCTTCCTGCTGCCACTCCCTCCTCCTGGGTGCTGTGACTTCCATGAGCCCTGTGACTTCCAGACATTCCTGCTGTAGGCTCTCAGACGGACACCTCCAGTTCCGGCCTGGGTCCGTCCTCACCTTGCAGTGGGACAGGAAAGCAGTCCTCACATCTGACTGCTTGGATGATAGCAGAGGACCTGGGAGCCTTAGGAGGGGAGGTGGAACTGGCCACGTTCATGGGGCTGCTGACTGCCCTACTGTATCTCCTTCCCGATGCCCACTGCTGTCAGCAGAGGTCTGGGTGGCTATCACATCCTGTGAGATCCCACAGAGTAAGAACACCTCCCAGGCCGGGCTGGGTGTTTCTGGGGAGGAAGTAGTATGGGCAAGAACAGTGGGTGATGTTGAGAGGTGGTTCAGAGGCAGCAGGATACAGATCAGGATCGGTGGGGCTGAGCTTGGAAATGCTGCCATCACCAGGCGGGGATTGGGTCTTCACTGGGCCTTGGGCCTTTGGGCCTTTGCCTACCGGAACAAGTCTGCTCCAGCCTTCCCTGCCTGCCTTTACCTGGGGCTGAGACTGCCACCCCACCAACTACCCTGAAGTCCTCCTCCATGCTTAAGTAACACACAGGTTGGGAACAGGGTGATTTAGGGCCCGGTGTTGGTGTGGAGAGTTGAAGAGATGGATGGTCTCAGCAGGAATGTGGCATGGATAGGCATGCTGGGAAGGCAGAATTGGGCAAGTGCACATTTGAACAGTTGCCTTTCCCTGTATTCCTCTGGTGCTTTCCTGGTGATGAGCAATAAGAGCTGCCTCCCTCGGCAGCCTCCCAGATTGAGGGCAGGGCAGACATTCGGCAGACAAGTGTTGGTGTGGCACGGGGGACCTGGTGTGTGATGTTTTTGCTGTGGGTAGGTTTGTTTATACCTATCAATGCAATTTCAGTTTCTGTTATAGCAGAAGCATTGAGACAGATAGTCTCCCTGACATCCTAGGTTTCTGGAGCCTTTGCCACAGCCACCCTCTTCCCTGCCTCATCCATCTGCCCAGACCCTCGTCTGCAGGCACCTTTGGGCCCCGCTGAGTATAGCTACTGAGTTGTTTGGCCTGCAGTTTCCATGCACAGAGTGGGTGTTCTCCTGAGTCCTTGCCCGTCCCAGGCTGCCTGGAAGGCCACGGGGAGTGGCACCACAGGAGCGGCTCCATGTCTTTTCACTGGGGGATTCCAGAGTGACACCCTCCGTCTCAGCTCCCCTAGCCAAGGTCACTCAGTTCCGCTCCATCAGGGCTGATGCAAGCAGGTGACAGACTTGACTTCAGATATGTGGGTGACTTCCGGGCGGTGCCTGATACAGACTCAACCTTTCTCTGCAGCATCTGGTGGAGGGGTCAGGCAGTGGGGCTAAGGACTGCCCTGGGGTGGCGAGCAGTAGGTGGCAGTCACCTGTCACCCAGCCAGCATGGGCCTGCACTTGGGCCCTCACCCTGGAAAGGCTGCTGACTGCCTCCTAGGCTCCTTGCACATGTCTGGCAATGTGGAGCCAGGTGGCCATGCCTCTGGGCTGTGGTAGCCACAGAGCAGCCCAGGTGACTGGAAGTGACTATCCCCTGTTTTCCCACCATGCTCACCCTCTGATGGAGGTGCTAATTAGCTGGGACACAGCACAGTATGGGAGCCAGGTGCAGGCTGCCTGGGGCTCATTCTTGGCCCCTTAGCCCTGCAGTGTTGGGCAGCTCCTTGGTGTTCCCAGTCCCTCATCTTCCCCTCTGCTCCATTGAGGCCACAGTTGGGGGTATGTTCTGCCCCTGCTCCACCCCATCCCGGGCAGAGTGAGGGAGCTGGGAGCGCACACTTCTTGGTTTCTGATGCACTTTTCTGCTTGTGCCGCCTGTCTGTACATCTCCTCATCCCAGTCCTGGCTTTGTTGAACGCCATGTTTTTAGCATGTTTTTAAATAAAACCGGATAATGTGTCAGAAGCACAAGTGGGCAGTCTCTGAGTGGTGTTTGTTCACCTAGCTCCAATGATGACCTGTTTCACACAGTTGTGCAGCACCTAGGGTGGGGTGGGGGTCAGGCCCTAGTCTTCACCATTGTCCTAGACACTCCCTGGGGCAGGGGCTTCCTCTCCCTCCAGGATCCAGGTAAAGGTTGTGTTGGTGGGGCTGGGGGTCTGGTCTTCTCTGCAGGACAGAGGGGTGCAGACATTGCTGTGTATGGTGACCCAGGCAGGCTTGATGGGGCAGTCTAATGGGCCATAGGAGTGGCCTTGGCCCCATCTCGGTGGCTGTCACCTTTAGGGGCCCAGGCCTATGTGTGGGGAGGGGTGAACACCACGAGAACGGCTTCCTGCAGGGGCAGGGATCTTCCCCAGCCCTTCTATTGTTCCTGGTGTTGCTGTGAACCTGACATCTGTTCCAGGACTGCAGAGACTGTGTGGTGTCACTCAGCATGGAGCCACCCTTGCAGGGGACTAGAAACACGTGTGAGGATGTTGTGACAAAGAAGGGCCTCTGGCCAGTGGGGCCATTGGCTGTCTACTGCAGGATCTGGCTGTCATCTCCAGCACAAGTTGGCTGTGGATGACGCACGCTCCGAGTCCTTGCCCTGGGTCACTGCTGTGCCGCTGAGTGGAGGCACGGGTGAGGTATGCATGTGTCAAAGGGTCCGAAGGGCTGCCTGCCTCCCTCCCCAAGGGAGTAGCCAGATTGATGGAATCATCCCAAAGCCTGGACCTATGGAGCCCCAGCCTGCAGCTGCCCTGTCTTAAACTCTGAGGAGACTGCCCTGAATCTGGGCAATCTCACCAAGGCACAGCTGGAGTGGCCTCCCATCCCTGGGAATGTACTGAGCAGGGTGTGTAGCTGGGGGCAGTTAACTGGCATTGCTGTTGAGGACCATCCCTGTCATAGGGTTTTGGGCCGGGGCCACTGTCTCAGCCCATGCTTGCTCTTGCCCTGTTTTCAGGGTGCTGACACACCTGCCGGGATGCCCACTGGCTCGGTGCGCTGTCTGTAGTGACTCAGTGGGATGTACTCTGGAAGGCAGGCAATGGCCAGCAGAGGCCCGTTTTCCGTGAGTCATCTTACAATGCGGCTAGAGACTTCTAGGGTGGGTTTTGGGCACTTCCACCCATGGAAGGGAGTGGCCAAGATGACTCGGGCCCCCTTTGCTGCCCGATCCCATGTTATGGGGAGAATGCTTCCTGTGAGTGAGCAAGGATGCTGCCAGCTGGTGCTTGCACAGATAAGCGTCAAGCCAGTGTGGATGACTTGCACTCCTGCGCCCTAGGAGCACTGGAATCTAGGGAACCACAAGAGAGCAATGCGTCTACAGCCCAGTACTGATCCTGAGACTCTCAGGGCCCCATGGCCATGCAGGTCAGGCACTGGCCCCAACTCAGGCAAGGGAAGGCCTCCAAAACCAAGCTGAAGAAAGGAGGAGGAGCCTGGCCAGCTGGTGCAGAGTGCAGAGGGTGTGGCAGGAGCCTTGCCAGGGCACGAGCATGTGACCAGGTGGAAAGGGTTTAGCCGAAGCCAGCAGCTGTGGGAGACACTGAGAGGCTGTGAGTCCATGTGGCCCTGAGCTCTGCCCGGGGAGGATGCCTGGTACACAGAGTGGCTGCAGGAAGACCTGATGTGCCCAGGAGCTGACAGGCATGGGGCCACGGTGAGATGGATCTGAGACAGAACCAACAAGCAGCGGGGGTGAATCAGTCTGTGGGAGGCTGCGTTCTCACTGCTCACCCTGCACGGGTGGATGACTGATCCTGTGAACCCAAAGGCTGGATGAGTGCACCACCTGCAGGCGAGGGGCGGCCAGCTCTGCAGCTTGCAAAGGCTTTCACACTGTGAAGCCTGTCTTCTTGGCTCTCTGGATCCCTGAACTTGGGGTGTACAAGGTGTGGAGGCAGAAGACCCAGGCTTGACACCCACTGTGATCTGGTGTCCATGCGTGTCTGACAGCCATGGAACTTGTCTTGATTTTGCCACCTGCAGAGTGAGGAAAATGCCACTGGAATGTGGGTCTGCAAGGGATGAGCACTGCCTGGCTGAAAGCTGGGGACCCCAGAGAGTGGCCAGGAGGGTAGTGGGTACATCAGGACAGGTAGTGAGTGGCCACAGAGATCACAGGTAGCTTCAATCTCCACTCTGCCAGGCTGGCTCCGCAGCAGCATTTGATAACCACAGAAGCAAGAGTGAAGCCGAATTAAATCTGTCACTTTGGGACAGGAATACTGGAGTTGTGATGGTCCCCTCTTAAAGCATTCAACAAAGATCTGGGACTTGTTGCCATCTGGGTTGTGCTGAGTTTAAGTAGCAGCTGACAGGCCACCCCGCAGCTGCAAGGGTGATGGCATTGCTTCAGCACTGGCCACCTGGAGCCCCCTGCCTGCTATGGCTCTTCTTGGCTGGTGGGCTTCTTGGGCACTGTTGAGACCAACAGTGCTGCTGGCCTGCAGCCGGGAAGGGTGTGGATGGTGCTGGTTCCTCCTTGGCATGTCAGTGCCCTTTTGCATGCATATATACTCAGTGGTGGAGGTGAGCAGGCATCTGTCTCCCAGGAAGTAGGCAGGGTTAGCAGAGTGCCCAGCAAAGTGGGCCCCTGCTTGGGGCCTTCCTCAGGGGGTCAAAAGTCCAAGACCCCCTGGAGTTCACACTGGTGAGTTCTGCTCCCAACTGCCCCCTGGACCACACCTTCCTGGTTCCTGTCTGAGGGCCCCTAGCACCCAGCTTATCCAGAGACAGTCTTCTGTTCCACCAGACCTCAAGCAATTTTCTAGAAGGAACAGTGAATCAGAGAGAAGTGTTTCAAGTCATAAAAGAGAAAGCATTTAGCTCTGAATTGTACTGGGTGTGCTGGTGCCCTTAGCTGACTCAAGTCTGTGTGCTGAGATGAGAGCTTGGACTTGGGGACAAGGGCAGCCGCAGGTGTCAGGTGGAGAAATACCATCGAATATGTGGAAGGCAGATGGGGAGGTGGGTTCTGCCTCGCTACCTCTCAGCACAGCCAGCATCACAGCAGCGGTGCGGGGCAGGGGCAGCGGGGAGAGCAGAGCACAGGCTCTGCAGTGGCACCCTGGGCCATGGGTGAAGTACTGCCAGATAAGGCAGGTGGCTGGGAGTGGGGCCCAGCAAGTGGGCTTTGAGCCTGGCTTTCACTTGCAGCCAGGAGCAGCCACTCGTGAGCGGCATTCCTTCTGGACAAGCAGTTGATAAGAGCTGATGAAGTGGGCTGACTAGGACCCAAGCGATGTGGTCTTGGGTTTATGAATGGGGAGCCACGGCCAACCTAGTGGCTGCAGCAGGGTTGCAGTGCCTCGGGAACCATGGCCTGGGGTTTCCTTGCAGAGGAGCAAAACACAGATCTGTGCAAAGTAGCTCTAGATATAATTCCTTTATCACATGCCCTGAGCCCCCAAAGCTTACACAGATCATGAGGGAGGCCAGGTTGCAGTGTGGGGATTTCCCTACACACAGCAGGGTTAGGTGGCTTCTCCATCCCCCGCCTGTGAGGACAGCTTCAGGCCGGCCAGCTCCAGGGCCCAGGGAGCCTTTTGATGCTGGGCTGCCTGGGGTCCCACTGGCACTGTCCGGGTGGGGCACGTGCAGGCACACGGGTGGGAGGGAGGCCGGGAGCTCAGGACTGGGCATGTGCTGAAACAAGTGCGGAGTGAAAAGGGCACAGTAGGGCTGTCCCGAGGCATGAAGGTGCTGGGGAGGAAGAGGAGGACCCAGGACAGGGGCCACACTGGGCTTTCTCCCGCCCTCCCCTGGGGCTGTGACATCTGAGGGAAGGTGGCAAAGACTCCTTCGTGGTGTGGTCTAAAGTAGTGGGCCTCAAAGTGTGGCTGTGGGGCCAGCAGCACCAGCAACTCTGGGAATTGTTAGATGGTGTCGCTCAGGAAAGCCCCGAGGTGACTGCCCTGTGTCAACAAATTAGAACTGCCACAGCCTGGTGTGGTGGTACACGCCTTTAATCCCAGCACTTGGGAGGCTGAGACAGGAGGATCGCTGTGAGTTCGAGACCAGCCTGGGCTATATACTGAGTTCCAGGTCA